TCTGGTGGCCAAATGAGGCCCAGGGCCCTTGGGAGGCAGGTGCTGCCTGCGTAGAACCGGGGGGGGGCTCTGGGCCGGGGGGGGCCAGCTCCCCGGCTGTAAGGGGGGGGGGGGGACATGTGTTGTACTGCACAGGATCTTTTCAGGGGGATGAGGCAAAGTGCCACATTTCTTGGTAATACATATATCAATCAACACTGTATCATATGCATATGAGATATATTACATTCACACACACACTCCATCTTGTTGTTGTTACCAACTAGTTGCTTCCCTTAACTGCACTGGCCAGGTGAGTTAGATGGGGGAGGGGTGGAGCCGGGCTTCTGCCGATCTGGATCGATGCTCCATGTTGACAAGCCGAGACCCGGGGTCCTCTGCAAGACATCTCACATTTATAGCAGCTTCCCTCTCATGCAAATCTGTACCAGATGCAAAGTCTGTGTCTGTGTCCATTGGTCAGCTGTGGCGCTTCCTTCTGGGTGTTGTCTTAATGCTGCCACGTTTATTTTCAAAGAGGGTGTTTTCAAAAGAAAGTGCTCATGTCTAACCCCCGAGGCCGTCAATATGTCTGATCTTCTTTAGTGAGCCCACTTGACAAGTTTTATTGGTCTTGGGTCTGGCTTCTACTCCGAGCAAAAAGACAGTTTCCTTCTACCTTAACTCTCCTTAGGGGCAATAACATTACACCCAGGCTCAGTACAAAGTTTCTATCTAAGGATTTGATACAAAGTTGTATGAAAATAGAGGTTATAGATGGAAAGACTTAATACAAGGTTCTATGAAGAGGCACAATACAAAGCCATGTGAAAATGATACACAGTTATGCGAAAATGCTTAATGCAGAGATTTATCTACACCTGGGGCGTCTGGGCCCAGTGCGGCTGGCTCTGGTTTGGGCAGAGGGTCTGTCAGTGGGGTGGGGATGGGGGGCCAGATGTGTTCATGGCCAACGTGGGGCCCAGAGATGTTCAGTGTCACAAAGGCTGCCTGCCCCTAAGGGGATCCGGGGGAGGGGACAACAGCCACCAGCCCCCTTGGAGCCGCCCTGGAAGGAAGGGAGCAGGGTGGGAAGAGAGGCTCCCTTCTTCTCTGGGCTTGTGGGGGGGGGGGGCTATCCCAGCCTCCAGAGCCCACGGCCCCCTGGAGAGAATCCCCACACGCTATGGGGTGGCCTCAATATGGCTGCAGCTCAGAGTCCCCCCAGCCTGGACAGGAGCTGGGTGGGTGGAACAGGAGCTGCTAGCTCTGTTCTGGGGTTCGGGCAGGCATCTGCGCCTCGCAGCCCCCTCCCTGGCTGGGAGCCGGTGGGGTTCTTGTCCGACTGTGACTGCTGCGAGGTGGGGGGTATGGGAGCCAGGACTCCTGGGTTCTCTCCCCGGCTCTGGGAAGGGCAAGCCGGGGCAGGGAGCCAGGACTCCTGGGTTCTGTCCTTCCCATCCACCCCAGCCCCAGAGCTCCATGCTCAGTGCAGGGATGGGGCAGAGATGGCTCTGTCCTGCTGGCAGTGCCCCTGGTACCTCCACAGGCAAGGGGGCTGGGGCCACGGCTGTTTTGAATGCACCGTCTCTGAGCACTGTCTCCTGCTCCGCCTGGGCCTGCCCCTGGTCCAGCTAACCCCGTGGGTAGTGCCGCTAGCAACACGCCGACGCTCAGCACAGTGGTGGGGCAGCGTGATGCAGTGAGACACCCGTGCCCTGGCCCTGCCGATCCAGCCCCTCTCGGCGACGTTGCTCAGCCCAGCTTGGGGACCGGCTGTTGGGAGGGCTGGGGGTGAGCATAGCCTGAGGGGTCAGGGTGGCATACTGGAGTTACCCCATAGCACTGTACACCGTGGGGTTCCCTGTCTTGGGGGTGGGGGGAGCAGGAGGGAGTAACCTGTCCCTGAGAGCTCCCAGGCGATGGGGTGGGGGCTCAGTTCATGGTGTATGGAGGGGGAAGAAGCGGTGCTGTGGGGAGCGCCACTGGGGGCTGCAGGTCCATGGTCCCACTCCAGGTGGGGGCTAGTGGCAGCCCATTGGTGGGGAGCGCTTTGTCCCCCATTGCCACGGATCCCAGCGGCCGATCGGTATTCCCTTCCCCACCGCCTTAGAGCAGCCCTGGGTCTCAGCCTACAGGTCCCAGCAGTTCCTGCGGGGGCCGATGGATCCCCAAGTGGGGCTTGCTCCTGGGGGCCCTGGCCGGTGAGCCGGTCCTGCAGTGTGCTGGACAGCCCGATTGCCCCGTCCCAGGCACTCCCGCTCCTGACATGGCTGGGCCGGGCTCTAGCAGCCCCCTGTGTGCTGGGGGGGCCCGGCTTCGGGAACCCCCGGGGCCCCCCCAGCTACACCCCAGCGGGCGGGAGGGCAGAGCTGGGGAGAAGAGGGTTGAAGGTGGCTGGTCTGTGCACACAGTCACCATACCCCCCCCCTGCCCCCCCAGGGCTTGTATTTTCCTGGGTGCCGCTTCCCTGGTGAAATCTGCTCCGCGAGGCAGGGCAGCTCGCGACAGGGGAGCTGGGTGTGCCCCCGGCACACGCCCGGTCCTTACACAGATCTGTGCACTCCGCTCACGAGCTACCGCCGGGGGGGCGGGGGCACGCTGACACTGACGCGGCGGGGGGGGGAGGCACTGACGCAGCACGGAGCGGAGCGGGGCAGGGCCGGGAGGTGAGTGCGGCTCCTCGGGCCCCCCCTTCGCCCCCTGCTCCCCTCCCCTGCCACGTACCCGCCCCGGCTCCTGCCCCGCGTCCCCCTCAGCTCCTGCCCCCTTCCTCTCCTCCGCAGCCCCCCCCCGGCTCCTGCCCGCCTCGCTCCTCCCCCGCCACGACCCCCTGGGGCCCTGTCCCCCTTCCCCTCCACGGCCCCCCCGGCTCTTACCCCCCTCTGGCCCCTGCCCCCCCTTCCGCTGCTTACCCCACCCATCCCCCCAAATTTCCATCCCCCCATCCACTGTCCTTCCAGTCCCCCCTCCCCACGATGTGCCTCTGTCTTGCCTTCTCCCTCCCTCCACTGCCCCCAAGGGGGTAGCTGTGGGCTGGGGTAGTGGGGGGCTCATACTGGGGTGCTGCAGTGGCACTGGGAGGCTGTTCTGTGCGTGATCCCCCATCTCTCTCTCTCTTGCAGGCAACCTCCACCACCTGCTGACCCCCCCCTCACCCCGTATGGCCCCCCGGCTCTGCCCCGCCCGGCGCCCCTCTGCCTGGCTGCTGCGGGGGCTGCTGGCAGGGCTGGGGGGGCTGGCGCTTGTGAGCCTCCTGGTTGGGGGCACAGGGGAGGAGCTGCTATCGTGGTCACTGGCCCCCTTCCTGGGAGGTGGGGGAGGTTTCCTGCACGCAGACCCCCCCTTGCCTGGCCCCGACTCCTTCCTGCTGCCCAACGTGGATGGCTGCAGGCCCCGGGCCCCCTTCCTGCTGGTGCTGGTGGCCAGCGCGCCAGGGCACACGGCCCAGCGCCAGGCGGTGCGTGCCAGCTGGGGGGGCGCCCGCAGGGCCGGGGGGTACCCGGTGCGGACGCTCTTTGCCCTGGGGGCGCCGGGCTCAGGCAAGGAGCAGGCCCGGCTGGAGGAGGAGTCCCAGCGGCACGGGGACCTGGTCCAGGGCCGCTTCGCCGACACCTACGCCAACCTGACCCTCAAGACCATGATGCTGCTGGGCTGGGCGGCCGCCCACTGCCCTGGCGCCGCCTTTGTGGTGAAGGTCGACGACGACGTCTTCCTCAACCTGCCCGCCCTGGCCCGCCACCTGGGGGCGCTGCCCAGCCCTCGCCAGCTCTACCTGGGCCGGGTCCACTGGCGGGTGCAGCCCAACCGCGACCCCGGCAACCGGCACCATGTCCCGGCCTCCGCCTACCCGGCCGGGGCCTTCCCCCCCTACTGCAGCGGCACGGCCTACGTGCTGTCCGGCGACGCTGCCCTGGGGGTGCTGGGGGCCGCCCCCCACGTGCCTCCCGTGCCCCTGGAGGATGTCTACGTGGGGCTGTGCGCTCGCTGGGCTGGCTTGGCCCCCACCCACACGGCCCGCATGGCTGGATCCACCCACTACCCCATGGACCCCTGCTGCTACGGGGAGGTGCTGTACAGCGTGCACCAGGTGGGCCCTCAGGCGATGGGGGCAGCCTGGGCTATGGTGGGGGGAGAAGGGGGAGCCTGTACCCCACTGCATAGGGGGCTGGGGGTGCTGAGGTGCAAGGTGCTAGCCCTGCTGGAGGGTCTGTGAGGGGCAGGGGGCGCTGGGAGCCAGGACTCCTGGGTTCTATCCTCAGCTCTGGGAGGGGAGTGGGGTCTAGTCCAGTGGTTCTCAACGAGGGGCACGTGTGCTATTGGGGTACACCAAGGTCTTCCAGGGGGTGCATTGTTGCATCTAGAGATTTGCCTAATTTTACAACAGGCTAAACAAAAAGTATTAGCCAAGTCAGTACAAACTAAAATTTCATACAGACAATGACTTCTTCATACTGCACTATGTACTATACACTGAAATGCAAGTACAATGTTTATATTCCAATCAATGTATGTTATAATTGTATGGTGAAAATGAGAAAGTAGCGATTTGTCAGTAATAGTGGCTGTGACACTTTTGTATTTTGATGTCTGAGTTAGTAAGCAAGTCGATTTTAAGTTAAGTGAAACTTGAAGGTACGCAAGACAAATCAGACCCCTGAGAGGGGTACAGTCGTCTGGAAAGGTTGAGAGCCATGGGCCTAGTGGGGGGGGCTGGGAGCCAGGACTCCTGGGTTCTAACCCCAGCTGTTAGTGCAGTGCTGCTCAATGGCGGCCCCTGGGCCAAATGTGACCCGCCAGCTCACCTTAAAAAAATATTTGTAACTAAATTCATGACCAGTGATGTGCTGCCTATGGCTTCCTTAGTAAGTAACGTACTGGAGCTTAGGTTCTCCGATAGCATCGGCTACGACTGGGTTGGGACGCTGCCTGTTTTATCATTGGTGATGTAAATGGAGCCGGAAACAAATGCGAGTGGGGGAGTAAACGTCACAAAGTCGCCAGTGAAAACCGAGCATTTAACCCAAGCTGCACAGCGGATTTTCTCTTTATTATGCCACTTCATTTAAAGGCAAAGCCTTTGTGTTTCCTCTGCCAAACCACTGGATCTGTCTGTAAGGTTGCCACTGGGAGGTGCCACTTTGACTCAAAGCACAGTCACTTCCACACGGCCTGGCCTCCTGGTGGTGCTGCAAAATGTGACAACATTGAAAATCGGAAGTCTTCGTGTCACACTTGAAATGTTCTCACGAGATCAGCAACTGTACAGGGGAAAGCAACAGCTGCCTCTCGTTGGAGAATGTGGGCACGAGCTAAAAGGAAAAGGCCTTTCCTGGATGCCGAGCTTGTGAAGGAGCGCACATTGGAAACGCTGGAGGAGCTCATTGATGGGTATAAAAACAAAGCTGACATTGTGACCCGTGTGACGCAGGTTCCCCTGTCTGATTCCATGGCAGTGCGAAGAGTGGCTGATATTTGTAATTTACGTGGATTGTCTGTCAGCACTGCTTTCCGATTTAAAAACGCCAAACACACGGCTCCTGTGGTGGACGAATCAAGCAATTTAAGTGACACCCCCCAGCCAGTGCTGTTTGTTAGATTTTATGATGGTGAAATTTTCAAGGTAGAATTTTTATGCTTAATACCATTAGAAACCTACCCCAGAGGAAGGAGCATTTTTGGAAAGGTACAATTTTTTTAAAAAAAAAAAAAAAATGGGTTTAGGTCTGCAGAAAGTAAACTTGCTTGTTACAGACGGAGGTCCCTCCGTGACAGGGAAAGAGATGGGTTTTGCTTCACGTGTGGCAGTGACACACCCTTAATTAAATACACTTCACTGCATCATTCACCAGACTGGCCTGTGCGTAAGTTCTCTGGAGACTTGAAAAAAACAATGGGTATTGTGATGAGATTAGTGAAGTACATATGCTGGCAAACAGGGGACATCATCCCTGCCCATCCGCTCAACTTCTAGCTTGCAACATTGTCTTTATAAAACTCTTTTACAAGACATTTCAGCCGAATTCAGTGACCTGTTGCAGCATGACTTTCGCTGGTTAAGTAGTGGGATGCATGATACAGGTGTTGTGCTCTTCAAAAAGAAATAATAGAATTCCTTTCAAACCACAAGACCAACGAGGTTGCAAGTTCCTGGAATTTATGAATGATGTCACAAGTAGCTTTTCTGTGCGATATTACTGGTCACTTGAATTCCTTCAGCTTGCAGCTCCATGGTCGTGCAAGCAGTGTCAGGGATCTGTCTGAAAAAGTGTGTGCCTGTCAGAGGAATCTTGAAATCTTTCAGGCAGACTTAACAGGAAAGATGTTGCACTTTACCACATTGCATGTTGTTGCTACAGATGAAACCTCAGTGAAAACGCTGCACGAATTCCTAAACAATCTGATCAAAATTTTTAAAATGGGATTTGAGAATTTTTAAATTCTCAAGGATTTGATTTTATTTGTTGTCTCTGCCGATGGACCTCACCCTTCTGAAGCAAAGAACACTCTTGATTCAATCAATGAAGGGGCCTTTCTATTAGAAATTGTAAGGCTCCAGAGCTCAGATGTCTTGAAGGCAAAATCCAGAGAAGCGGGATGTTGTGAGTTCTGGACTCAGTCCACTGACCAGTTTCAGAATAGCCAGCATCTGGCTTTTAACCGTGTTCGGACCAATGTACCTCTGCGAAGCTGGGTTTTCTGCCATGGACATTATAAAAAACCCAATCACCTGAGGGACAAGCATCTTCATGCGTGCATGGGCCTTGGCCTGACCGCCTACAACCCACTCGTCACACTTGTCGCTATCACCTCTCCCACTAGCGAGTGCTACAAACACGGGTAACAATGTTGCATTTTAAACTGTGTTAGAAGATAGAATTACTAATTACTAACTAATTACTAATACTTACTGTGCATTCAGGGGCTGTATTTATTGGCAGCTGAAGTGTTTTTTGTCAGACGTGTGCCAATGGGCTGCTTTGTGTCGTAACATTCTCAAAGAGTGGGTAGCTCTCACTGAATATCACTGGGCTAGTGGGTTAAAGTTTGGGGGGGGAGGGGGAGAACCAGACTCCTGGGTTGTGCCCTGGCTCTATGTGAGACACCTGGGACAAGTCACCGAAGCACTTTGTGCCTCAGTTTCCCATCTGTTAAATAAGACTCTTGCTCTTGTCGAGTAAACCGTGTGTTGGGACACTGAGTGTCAGTGTGTGTCTGTGCAGGGCTCAGCCAAACCGGGGCCCTGATCTCGGTCAGGGTCTGGGCAGCGCCTGGCCCAATGATCGGGGGAGGAGGGGGCTTGCTCTCACTCATGGGTCTTGCCACGCACAATGAGGGCTGTCATAACCCTACAGATAAGGGCAGCTGTACTGAATCGCTTTATTGGTAAGGGGTTAAGAAGCTCAAATAACCTGGTTGGCACCTGACCAGAAGAACCAATAGGGAAAGCAGATACTTTCAAATGGGGGGGGGGGGGTTTGTTTGTGCTCTCTTCTTTTGTTCCAACGGAAAGAGAAGCCAGGCAGGGACAACATCTCCTGAAAATATACCTGGCATAATCGATCTAAGAATTACAGAAATTGTAAGTAATAGCAAGGAAATGTGTTAGATTATCTTTTGTTTTGGCTTGTGAATTTTCCTTGTGCTAAGCGGGAGTTTTATTCCTGTTTTTGTAACTGTGAAGCTGAGTCCAGAGGGGGAATCCTCTGTGTTTTAAATCTTTTTATTACCCTGTAAAGTTACCTTCCATCCTGATTTTTGCAGGTGTGATGCTTTTACTTTTTTCTTTATAATAAAGTTCTTAAGAACCTGATTGATTTTAGTGTCCTAAAGATAAAAGGTTTGGTCTGTGCTCACATTGTGAACCAATTAGTTGGTATATTATTCTCAAGCCTCCTCAGGAAAGGGGGTGAAGGGGCTTGGGGGGATAGGGATTACAAGTGACCCTTTCCTGTCAAAGGACAAGGAAAGGAATTTGTGCCTGGGGGAAGTTTTTAACCTAAGCTGGTAGAAATAAGCTTAGGGGGTCTTTCATGTGGGTCCCAACATCTGTACCCCAGACTTCAGAGTGGGGAGGGAACCCTGACAAGGGCCCTGTGCTGCACCCAGCTCTGGGGAGGCACCGGGACATAGACTGAATGGGATGGGGTGTGGTGGTGGGCACCACACCTGTAATTAGCAGGGAGGGGACAGGGGACAGGAGCCCCCCCTTTCCCTCACAGAGCTGGTACCTGCCCCCTCGGGTCCCTGGCAGCGGGGACGGCAGGCTTGGCGAGCCCTGCCCGATGTCAGCATTAACAAGTCTAACGTTGGCCAGGCCTCAGAGCCAGAGAAACATCCGAGCCCTTTGGGACCCGTGCTCAGTTCGTGGGCTCAGCACTAGCCCGCGGGTGAATGTGCCCCAAACCACTCAGTGCCAAGGGGCAGGGGTCACCGCCCGCTCCTGCTGGGCCATGCCTGGCACTGTGTGAGGGACGTACAGCTGCCAGGTGAGGCGTTATGACGACGCTGACCATGGGGGTCAGGGATTCGTCGCCAGCCAAGGGGAACCCAGGCTTCCTGGCAGCCGGGGGGGGAGCCCCACACAGCAGGCGAGGTCTAAGGCCTTAGCATACGCACAACGCACCTCAGCTGGCCCATGACCAGAATTATCACTGAACTCGGGCTGGTGGGTGGATCACTAGCTTCCCTGGGCCGGGCACCATGGGGGGGGAGGGGGGGGGTCCAACTCAGGTGGAGTCGCTATGGGGCACTCACAGCGGGAAGGAGGGATGCTGAAGGCTGCGAGGGTCAGTCGCAGGAGGTGATGCCAAGGGGCTGACCCCAGCGAGAGTGTGACACTCTAAGGGGGCTGATACACTGAAGGGGTCCTCCAGGACTATCCCAGAGCCGTGCGAGAGCACTGGCCTGCGGAGCCGTGTCTCAGCGCAGGGCCAGTGACCGTTCAGGGGCATTGCTAGGAGGCAAAGCCGGCAGTCCCCCGACCTGCAGCTAGGAAGCGAAGGGGCAGCTTGTCGCCATTCTGAAGGCAGGCTCTCAGCCAGCCCGGGGCCTCCCTGGGTCAGCGCCTGTCCTTGCTCACCCTGGGATAAACGGCTCCAGCTCCACCTTGCGCCCAGCACGGGGGCTGTGACACAACAGCTGAACACCAACCGGTCCGGTGCACAGCGCCCCTGGGGACTCCACAGGGGGCTGGCAGGGGCTGCAGCTCATCCC